CATTTCTCTCCCACAGACCAGAGTAGGTGCTCACTTAACACTTGCTGTATAAATTCATGCAGCCCTTCAAATGCGTTCTTGAAGATGAGCAGTGGGGGAAAACGCTTTTGATATAATGGAAAAGCTTTCTAAAGCACAACACTAAATAGTTGAGCAGTATGATTTACAACCCTGCAAACACACACACATGCACACACGCACGCACACACACACACGTGCACACACACGCACGTGCACACATGCACACGCACAAGCACACACACACATGCACACACACGCACGCACACACAAATACCTTAGGTTAGGAGAAAGAGGAAAAAGAAAAAAGAAAACCGGACTGTTTAGTGTGGTTGCATTAGAAGAATGGGACAAAGAATAATTTTTCGTCTTTCTTGTTTGATGTGTTTTTTTCTAATCTTCTTTAATAAGCATGGTTTCAATTTAAAAGGGAAAGAAATAACAACGAATCTAGCAAAAGGGGAGCCTGCAAGCCCTTTCTGTTCCATAGAGTTTTCCCACAAACTGGGGCAGGGTGGGGTGGGGTGGCGTGGTCAGAGAAAGAACTGCCCTTTAGAAGTGAAGCAAGAGCGGGAAACCCAGCGCACTCTGGGCCGGCGGAAGGTGTCAGCCGACCAGGGGAAGTTGAGCACCTAATGACCCAGCACGCCCTCTCCCAACGTGGGGCCTGGCGGACGTGTGCACGCTGCCACGCCCCAGAGCCTCGGCAGACCCCAGACCCGGCTAGCGAGCCCACCTCGCACCGCAGCCCCACGTGTCCCTACGGCCTCAAGGGGGTCACCCCACCGTGTCCCTGCCCCTCTTCACATGCGACAACTAGCTTAACCTGGTCTGGACAACCTGCCCGTGAGCAAGCTGGGGGTCACTCTGTCAGCCTCACTTCACAGAGAAGAAAACCATGGCTTGAAAGATGTAGTGATTTGCCCAAGGTTGCCGAGCTGGTAAATAGCGGCATCTAAATGTATCACCACTTGGTCCCATCCTTGTCTATGATCGGCCTCCTTCTCATTTCTACGAAACCAAATGATGAGTTTCTAGAGGAAAAGGGTGGGTTCGCAGGCTTCACTGTGTCCCCAGGGCTTGGCCAGAGTCTAGCTCGTAAGGCCGGCTCTGGCACAGTAATGATGGTTGGGTAAATGAATTAACCTATGGAGGATGAATAGATGGATGGATGGATGCATGGGTGGATGGATGTATGAATGGATGGGTGAGTAGGTGGGTGAAAGGAATGAATGAAAGGATGGATGATAGATGGGTGGATGGATATTGATGGATGAGTGGGTGGGTGGAAGGCATACAAGGAATGAAAGTATAGCTGAATAGGTAAAAGAATTAATTAAATGACCATGAGAGGCCAAGGGCGCTAAGAGGATGCCTGTTGGTTCCTGGACCTTGAATGCACCCTTCAGGAAGGTTGCAGGCCGGCAGCTGTCAAGCCAAATCAGGCTACAGACATGTTTTGTTTTGACCATCCCAGGGTTTTTAATTTTTTAATTAATTTTCATTATTTTAAAATTAGGAAATTTCACGTTAGAAATCTGAATCTCTGGTTTCCCTGACAGCTCAGCTGGTAAAGAATCTGCCTGCAAAGCAGGAGACCCCGGTTCAATTCCTGGGTTGGGAAGACCCCTTGGAGGCGGGCAAGGCAGCCCACTCCAGTGTTCTTGCCTGGAGAGTCCCATGGACAGAGGAGCCTGGGGGGCTGCAGTCCATGGAGTCACACAGAGTCGGACACGACTGAGCAAGGATACGATCCTTGCAAAACTGGGCCAGCTCAGGTGCCGGGAAGCAATGTGCCAGGACTGACAGGGCAGAGCCACCTGGGACCGCAGTGCCCACCACTCCGCAGCGCGGCTCTGACGCTGAGGTTGGGCGTCGGCTGCCACTTGCTACGGCACTTCAGGCTGGCGTTCTTCTCATGGTATAAGTGCAATGAAGATGAAAAATCTCGTGAACCTGAGTTTCCATCAAAAGTGGGAAAAGGAAAACATGTAGAAAGGAAACTGGGAGAGATGTTGTTTGTGGAAGGAGCTAATGCTCCTATGGATCTGATGCCCACACAACGCACACTTTCCCGAGGCACAGTAGAATGCAGTGGTGGAGGGCACAGGTGCTGGGGCTTGAGAACCAGTTCCAGCCCCAGGTCTGCTGGCTGCTGGTTGCGTGGCCTTGGGCCAGTCACTGAACCTCTCTGGGTTTCAGTTTCCTCGTCTCTAAGGCAGAGATGGTGTCAGTCCCCACCTCTGGGCATTAATGAGTTCCCACGTGTGAAACCCTCTGCGTGCGAGCCAGGACTAACTGTGGTTGTTTTGAGTGACCTGCACAACAGGGTTCTAAACCCAGGGCCATTTGGCAATGCCTAAAGTCTCGGGCTGCCACAAGGCGTCCCTTCCAGGCTGCGGCCAATTAGACAAGGGATGGGTCCCTAGCGCCTCCCAGTGGCTTCACACCTAAACTGCACGAAGCTCTCCAGCCTGGGGTGGTGGTGGGGGATAGGGACTGACCCCAGGGCCATCTTCACCCAGACTCAGTGAGAACGTGGAGATTTAAGGTCATGAAAGATGGTAGCAAAGGCTTAGGAGACAGAATGACGTGGGTTTGGATCCCAGCTCTCCCACAGAGCAGCAGGGAGACCTTGGACAAATCTATGACTCCTCTGAACCTCAGTTTCCTCAGCTGTAAAATGGGGATGATGTTACGCCAGTGTTGTGGTAGGATTATATTAAGTAACATACATAAACAGATGGCACCTACTGGATGCTTCATAATCCTCCTCTCTGACACTGGTGTTCACCTAGATCCAGAGCCAGGGGGATGAGCTTCCAGTATACCCAGAATGATTTTCTCAAACAAATAGTTTTGCTAGAGGGGTGGGATGTGATGCAGGGTGGGACGGTCAAGAAGGAAGGGAGATATGTATACTTATGCTGATTCACATTGTTGTTCGCAGAAATCAGCCCAACATTATAAAGCAATTGTCTTCCAATTAAAAAAAATAATTTTGTGGCAAAGTCACATTTACTATACAGAATGGGATCCACAACATATTGTCAATAACCTCAGGCCTGAAAAACATGGTGCAGAAGGGAGATCCCATTTTGTTTGACATATCTGGATTTTAGAATACATACATTTGTAATATCTGTAAGAAACAAAGACCTAATTTTCTTAGTATATAAAGAGTTCTTGCAGATGAAGAGACAATTACCTGATAGAAATATAGGCAAAGGATGTGAATGCTTTACTACCAGAAAAGAGAAGCAAATGGCCTTCAGATATGTTTTTTAATTTCCAACCTAAAGGAAGACTATGCGGATTACAACCACGGTGAACACGTTTTTCCCCCAATCAGCAAGGCCAAGATGGAGCGGTCGGATAATAGTTGGCATTGGCTCTGGGGAAACCAAGGCTCAGGTCAGTCGTTGCCCTGAATGTCAGTTGGTAGGCATGACCTCAGAAAGCATTTGGACAATAAGTGTTAAAATTTAAAAATGTACCTGCCCTTTGGGCATTTCAGGGGCTAAGAATTCATCCCTTCGGAAATAGATCCGCGTACACGGAAAGACGCCTGTGAAAGGAATACCAATCCGCAGCATTGTTTGCTGCAGCGAAACACTGGCATCGGCTACATGGTATCGCCAGGGACTGGTTAGATAAATTACGATATTCAGACAACGGAATGTGTAAAGAATGCTCTCCCAGTACTGATCTGCAAAGATCTCCAAGGTACATCATTAAGTAAAAAAACAAAACCAGTGCAGGGCAGGGTGTGCAGTATGCTTCTATTTAGAGAAACAGCTACAGGAATCCATGTACACATTTGCTTACCTACACTCTGGACATCTCTGCAATGATCCCCAAGAAATGATAGCCAGGGTGACTTCCTGACAGGGAAGCTTGGAGATTTAGAGCTGGAGAGCAGGGCTTAGGGATTATTGCTGTTTAGTCGCTAAGTTGTACTCCGACTCTGCGACCCCATGGACTCCACCCCACCAGGCCTCTCTGCCCATGGGATTTCCCAGGCAAGAATACTAGAGTGAGTTACCATTTCCACCTCCAAGGAACCTTCGCAACCCAGGGATCAAACCCGTGTGTCCTGAATTGGCAGGTGCATTCTTTACCACTGGGCCACCAGGGAAGACAGGGGCTAACGACTAGACAGGGAATATCCACTGTAAATCTTGCGGTAGCTTTTCAACTACTTTTCATGCAAGTATGTTTTCTTATTCATATTTTTAAAGTTTTTCATCCTTTAAATTAGACGAGAGGGAGCAATGTCTGCAAGGATATGCTCCAAAATGTCAGCAGCACTTTCTGTGGGTGACTGATGGGGATTTGGAGTGACTTTTATTATCTCATTTTTACTCAGATGGATTTTCTGATTTTTAAAAAATAATTATAAAGGATATATGGTATTAATAACTTCAAAATTTCTTTAAAAGTAGACTCTCCGTGTTTTTTTGGTAGCCAGGGGGAAACTAACTTCTACAGTGAAAAGCAACGATGGAATATGTGCACTCCCCTAAACAGTCCGATTATCTTCACTGCCAAGAACGTTATGGAGTTACATTCCATGAAAAGTGAGGATTGATATAGTTATCCTACTGTGTGTGTGTGTGTGTGTGTGTGTGTGTGTGTGCGCGCGCGCGCGCCTGCTCGGTCACATCCAGCTGTTTGTGACCCTGTGGACTGTAGCCCACCAGGCTCCTCTGTCCATGGGATTCTCCAGGCAAGAATACTGGAGGGGGTTGCCATTTCCTTCTCCAGGAGATCTTCCCAACCCAGGGATCGAATCCCGGTCTCCTGCATTGCAGGAGGATTCTTTACCATCAAAACTCAAGCTTCCAACTTGTATTGGGGCTTGAATCAGCTTCAAATCTGTCACTTACTCACTGGGCACATCAGTTCAACTCTCTTGGCCTCACTCTTCTCATCCACAATGTGGAAAAACTGCAGCGCTGCTCGCAGACTTGTCTGAGATGATGCCTGTCGAGTTTCTCTCCTGGCTCAGGGTGGACAGAGTGAGACCTGGTTTTTCTTTCAAGCATGATGGGAAAACAGAACAGGCAGGGATTGTGCACATTCACAGGAAGGACAGGATGGGGCCCTTTGCCTTCTTCAGGATCAGTTTGTAAATAGCTCTGTTTGAGCAGGCTCTGGGAGTTGGTGATGGACAGGGAGGCCTGGCGTGCTGCAGTCCATGGGGTCACAAAGAGTCGGACACGACTGAGCGACTGAACTGAACTGACTGAGCTCTGCCCAGAGTCCCCGGTACTCGGCCCATCTCTGCTGGGCAGTCTTCCTACAGCTTGGAAAGAGTGACGCCAAGTGGCCAGGACTGAAACTACACCTTCAGGCCTCAGGCTTACTGACAGCCTGGGAGTGTCTCCTCGTCCCCTCCGCCGGTGGTCTTGAGCAAGGTGCTGAAACTCTCTGGATCTCATTTTTCTCAGCTGTAAAGTGGAGATAAATGTGCTTCTGTGGTAGGGCATAGTTTAGGTGTAAATAGGGGTGATCCAGGGACATCATCTCCAGGCAGCTCTATTAGACAACAAACGCCTGGGAGAACGCAGCTCTCATTATCATCACTCCCGCAAAGTTCTAGCCTCCTACATCCTCCTCCAGAGTGACTCTAAATCAGAACCTCCCAAAGCATGGACCAAGTACCAATGATGCTTCATGGGAAGATTTTAGTAGGTACAGGGCTGCTCCGTCCAATAACACTCCATTTTCTTTTGGATGTTCTTATTACATCAAGGTAACAGTTTAATTTCCTCTTCTTGGGCTCTAAAATCACTGCTGGTGGTGACTGCAGTCATGAAATCAGAAGTCAATTGCTTCTTGGCAGGAATTCCATGACAAACCTAGACACAGAAATATTACTATGCCAACAAAGGTCCATATAGTCAAGGCTATGGACTTCCTAGTGGTCACATATGATTTTGAGAGCTGGATCATAAAGAAGGCAGAGCACCAAAGAACTGATGCCTTCCAACTGTGGTGCTGGAAAAGACTCCTGAGAGTCCCTTGGACAGCAAGGAGATCAAACTGGTCAATCTTAAGGGAAATCAACTCTGAATACTATACTCATTAGAAGGACTGATACTGAAGCTGAAGCTCCAGTATTTTGGTCACCTGATGTGACTAGCTGACATTGGAAAAGTCCCTGATGCTGGGAAAGATTGAGGGCAGGAGAAGAGGGCATCAGAGGATAAGATCACTGGATGGCATCACTGATGCAATGGACATGAACTTGGGCAAAAGTCGGGAGACCCTGAGGAACAGAGAGGCCTGGTATGCTGCAATCCATGGGGTCACAAAGAGTCGGACGCAACTGGGCAACTGAACCACAGCAACAGGTTGTTACTGATAGGTCTTTAATGCCTTTCTAACACTTACCCATCTTCCTTTTGAACAGAAAGCAAGTGGGCCTTAGGCTTAGAGCCTTCAAAAGGCAAAGTTATTTGGCCACAATTCAGTAAATTTAAATGTTTTCATATTTACATTTTTGTCATTACGTCTATATTTTGTTACATTTTGCCTTTTGTCAAAGGCAAGTGGTGGTGGTTTTCTATTTACAGTAGATGTGGCGGATTGTGTTATTTTCAAGGCGTATTGGTCCTTCCTACTGGTAGTTCGCTGGTAACTCTCCCCACTGATGTCAGCCTTGGCGGTGTGACTTCCTTTGACCAATAGCATCTGAGTTAAGCCTCCAAGCAGGAGCTCTAAGAGCCAGCTTGTGGTCCTCCCACTTGCTCTTCTTTCTTGGCTGTGAGTCAGATGGCAGGGAGTGGGCTGCCTCTTCAACCTGCATCCCGGAGTAAAGAGGGCACCTGGACCAGTCAAGCTGCAAACAACATGAAACATGAATGAGAAACAAACCTTCGTACTTGACAGCCCACTGAGATTCTTGGGTGGTTTGTTACTGCAGCAGAATCTAGCCTGAGTTGACTGATACAGTAGAAATAACATATTGCCTTTAAAAATAAATATACTTTAGTAAAATGAACGTGTTTGTTTAGAGAAAAACGCTAGGTAAGGTGATAGGGACTTGTTACAGGTCGACATACTGTGGGCAGTAGGGGGCATACATAACGACAGCAGTGGCTGGATGACTGAAGTTGAGAAAGACGTGCACAGTTTTAAACGTGAAAACTGTTGCTCCAGGTTGCACATGGCTCCTCTCAGAGCCCCCCAAATACTTCTCGATTCACATTTCCAACTCTCCAGTCTTTGCCTCCCCTCACGTAACCAGAGTGGGTTTCCTGGAGCATACATTTGACCGGGTCCTCCCCTGCCCTGACCTCGCTGGGGGCTCCCTGGCACCCTCAGGACGAAGCCCGGGGTCTTCGTCACGGCCACCGGGCCTTCGCAGCCGCCCCTCAGCCCGTCTCCTCTCCCGCCTGCGTCTCGGTCGCAGCCACGCTGACTCTTGGTTGTTCTTTGAACAAGGCAAGCACGCTCCTGCTTCGGAGCTCTGCTTCAGATTTGAAATCCTCTCGTTATAAAGCCCCTCCCGAGGGGGAGCATGGCCGTTCCTTGCTCCCTCCTGTCTCTGCTTAAATATTACTTTCTCGAAGAGGTCTTCTCAGACCACGCTGTATAAAACAGCAGCCCTCTAGTCTCCTGCCCCTTTATCCTGGTTTTTTGTTCCCTATCACCTATGACTCTCTGACCACATTAAATATCTGTTTATAATCTGGATCCTCCAGTAGAATATTAGCTCCTCGAAAGCAAAGTTTTTGTTTTTTCATTATGGTGGCCCCAGTGCCTACAACAGCACCTGGCACATAGTAGGTGCCCAGTAAGCATTTGCTGAAGGAAGGGATGAATAAAAGATAGCAAAGGTAAACCCCAGAAGCTTTAGGCCCAGGACATAATAGTACCTTTTTTTCCCCACTATTTATGTTTTCTGTGTTCCTTTTCTAAAATGTATTTATTTTTAATTGAAGGATAATTGCTTGATGTGTTGGTTTCTGCCATTCATCAACATGAATCAGCCATAGGTATACATATGTCCCCTTCCTCTTGAACCTATTTATTTTTAAATTTTATTTTATTTATCTTTCTATTGAACATCATACTATCTTCAAGTCCAGTTGATAAAGAACTTCTCATTCTCAATGGTTCAGATCACCTGAATCTCCCTGGCTTCCCCAGAGTACATGTCTCTCTCTGACCCAATCAGGCCAGGGAAATGAGACACTGGGTGGCCAGGCCTAGACCATATGCCCATATTTAAGACCAGGAGTAGGCTCAGCTCTAGGAGTAGGCTCACTCTACATGCACTGAGTGAGACAGGGTGTCCTGTAAGAAAACTGTGATGCTCTTATCGGGAAAAAAGGAAGTAAATGTCAGGTAGGCAGACTCCAAAAGGTAGATTATTCACCTAGCTGAGTGCCTAGGAACTCAGCATGCTCTCTATGAAACAGGAGCCTTATTTGGGATCAAGCTGAATACAGGTGGGAGGTGAAGCAGGGGGAACTCTGCTAACACCAGAGATGGAGCTAGAATAAGGAGCAGGTGATTCAGGCAGAGCCTAGACACCAATGTATCCATGGCATTAACACTGCTGGAAGAAATCAGAAGTTGAGAAGCAAAAGAAATCTTCAATTTCTACATGCAACTTCTTACATAATCAGCAAAATATTAATTAATCTCTCTTCTGATGCTGAAGACGACACCCTGAGAAGAAATTTAAAAATAAATACCGTTGGCTCTAATCTATTACTGTTGATGAGTTTGAGGAGCCACATGTGCTTATTGCATGATACAACCATAAGGCAGCCCACAAACCCCAACGACCAGCCAAGTGGGGCCTCCTGAAATTGGCAGTCATGGTCAGCTGAAATTCTGAAACCATATGGTGTAGTGCTGTTATTGGGAATGAGTAATCTGTTTTGTTCCAGAATCTAAAGTCTATACTCTTCAGTGGTAGAGTTTGAAAGTTGTCCCCCAATATCAGTCTTCCCCTTCCTGTAATGATAGACGCTCCATAAAAGCGTACGGGTGTTTGGAATAAAGACTACATTTCCCAGACTCCTTTGCAGCGGGAGTGGCCGCGTGACTGAGGGATGGTCAAAGGGGTTTGAACATGGGAACCAAACGTGGTGGTCAGCCACTTGGGTTTCAGGATGGGGACAACATGCTGCTGCTAATGGGGCCCGAGCCCCTGACAGGTTCGTGGTGGAGTCACCACCCCAACTCAGGCTTCTGTGCAAAAGGAAAATTTTATCATACTTCCATCTCTTATAAGTCTCTGAACCCCACAGATGAAGTTATATTCAAAATAATGTTCAGTCATTCAGTCGTGTCCGACTCTTTGTGACCCCATGGACTGCAGCATGCCAGGCTTCTCTGTCCATCACCAACACCCAGAGCTTGCTCAAACTCATGTCCATCGACTCGGTGGTGCTGTCCAACCATCTCATCCTCTGTCATCCCCTCCGCCTCCTGCCTTCAGTCTTTCCCAGCATCAGGGTCTTTTCCAATGAGTCAGTTCTTCGCATTAAGTGGCCAAAGTATTGGAGCTTCGGCTTCAACATCAGTCCTACACTTCTAAAGAAGTGGGTCTGACTTGAAAAATTGTGTACAGTATATGCATAGAGTAAATCCTTAAAGAAAAAGAAAAAAACGAAAAGAAGTACTCAGTTTTGACTTACTCTTACCAGTTTATTCCTGTTCTACAAATACTGAAGACTATGTCAAGGAAGACACCCTGCCCAGGGCGCCCTGGTATTTTAGCTGCTTTAACAAGACTGAGGCAGGCGGGGACCTGGAACCCTTTGCTGCAGTGCTGCAACGGCTGCACCTGGATTCACCTCTCCTCCAGCAACGGAACACAAAGAAACCGTATGGGGCTAAAGATAACTGCATGCATGTGCAGTTGGGGCGAATTCTGGACCCCAAAGAATCAAAGAGACCAGAAAGCCCAACTGCCATTTTTGAGGAGCCTGGAGCAAAAACAGGATGTCAGGAGCAAAAGCAGGATACTGTACATGCCCCCTGCACACACCACCACCTAGGGGTGGGCAAAACGCCTAAGCCACCCCTCCAGCCTACCCTTCACCCCATATAAGAAACAAGCTTGCTGCCCCCTCAGCTGAGGAAGCGAGGAAGCAAGCAAGGAAACCTGTCGTTTGTTCTCACCTACCCCCATCCCTGCTGTAGCAGGGACCCCAATAAAGCCTTGCCTGAATTTCTTGTCTGGCCTCTGATCAATTTCTATTGATGAAGGAGGGCCAAAAACCCTGGTTGGTAACAAAACTGCTCTGGCACCTTTAACTGAAGTCCCCCAGGCTCTGAATTCCCAAACCTGGCTGACGATCATTAGCATATGTAGAGTTGTTCTAAGATACAGATTCCTGGGCCTTGGCCAGTTCATTTGAAGAAGCAGGAGATGAGGAATTTGTAATTCACAGATGGTAATTATAGCTGGTAAGCCCGCCTTACCAGCTGCGTGACCTTGGGCGAGTCACTTCACTGCCCTGTGCTGCTGTTCCTTCTCCCAAATAACGAGGACCGGGATCGCAGGGGCCACAGGAGGGCTGCTGTGAGGTGAGCTTGTTCCATGTGTACGAAACGCCTAGCACGGTGCCTGGAACAGAGGGAGATCTGTGTTAGTTCTCATCACGCCTGTTGGCAGGAGTATAATTTTGTTTTTCCTTTTGGCCACATAGAGCAGCATGCAGGATAAGTTCCCCAACCAGGGATCAAACCCACACACCCCGCAGTAGAAGCGTGATTTTAACCACTGGACCACCAGGGAAGTCCTGGTGAGGGTATAAACGAATGCAAACTCTCAGGAGAACAATTTGCACTATCTACCAAGATTATGGGTTTCCCTGGTGGCTCAGTGGTAAAGAATCTGCCTGCCCATGCAGGAGACATGGGCTCGATCCCTGGGTCGGGAAGATACCCCGGAGAAAGAAATGGCAACCCAGTCCAGTATTCTTGCCTGGGAAAGCCCATGAACAGAGGAGCCTGGCGGGCTACAGTTCACTGGGTTGCAAAGAATCAGAGACGACCTAGCGACTGAGCGTGAGCTCGCACCAAGATGTTCAGTATGTCCACCTTGACACAGAAACATGGTGGCTGAAAAACTTTGCCTAAGATTGTCCTCATTCATCCAGCTATGTGCACAATAATGTTCTTTGCAAGTGTTTACTGAGCACCTGGAGAAGGAAACGGCAGCCCACTCCAGTGCTCTTGCCTGGAGAATCCCATGGACGGAGGAGCCTGGTGGGCTACGTCCATGGGGTCACAAACAGTCGGACAGGACTGAGCGACTCACACACACACACACACACACACACTGAGCACCTACATTTTAGTTAGAATAAGACAGTCTATGCTGCATAACAACCTCCCAAGTGGCAGCGACTTGAGACAGGAAAGGTTTGTTCCTTACTTTTGCATTATGACGCAGAGGGAGAGCCCTTCTGCATCTTGTTGCTATTCCATCTGGAACAGGTGGTCTTAGAGATGGACCTGGCAGGCAAAGAGACAGCTAGAAGGTCACATGGATTTTTTTAAGGACTAGGCTGGAAGTGGTTTCCATGATTTTTGCACATCCCATTGGGCAGAAATGAGCATAGTTCCAACCTGATTGCAAAAGAAGGTGACGAAGGCAGAAGAGCAAATGGATACTGAGTAAGCGTTGTCCCTGTGACATCTGCTACCCTCAGGGACTGTTCTAGGACCTGGAACCCCAGAGGTGAGCAAGGCCAACAAGGTCTGGCCCTCAGAGCTTCCCTGATAATAAACTTCTACTTGAAACATGATCCCAGGTGTATGTCATTCTACGCCTGAGCAAGACCATCTGAAGGTCTCGTTTGCAGCAGTTAGGGCTGTTGCATCAAAGAGCAGATGCATTTGTCACTGTGACAGATGTGGTCAAATCGCTCTCTGAAGGACTGTGCCAGTTTCCACTTCCACCAGCAGGGTACCAGAGTGTGTCTTTTCCTGCAGACTCGCCGGCACGGAGTGTTATCAGACTTTGGGTTGTTGCCAATCTGATAGATGAGAAACGCTGTCTGTGTGTACTTTTAATTTCCTTTTTTTTAATGACAAAAGAGGGTGAACATCCTCTCATATATTTATGAGCTATTTGTATTCCCTTCTCTGAGAACTGTGTGTTCATATCCCTCATCCATTTTTCTACTGACATTTTTAAATGAAAAATGAAGGGGAAGAACAGGATGCATATTATATTCACTTTTGTAAATTAAAAGCAGAACAATATTTTGGCATATACATATAAATAGTCTTATATGTGGATAAAGGTTTTCTAAAAGCAACCACAAGAAACTGTTAATGGGGAGTAAACTCAGCGCCATTGTTTTGCCTGTGAGCTTTTTAAAAATGTCAATTTTTAAACCCCTGAATGTGGGGGTGGTTTATTACACCTGTGTGCTATGTTTTGAGCCTTTCTGAATGACTTCACTTTTCTAACCACGTACAAGTATTACTTTTTTTTTTAATGTCAGTAAAGGTCTTTTGGCCTTTTTGCCTTTATGTTTTATACATTTTATAAACTCTGACATATGTTGTTTTAACTCAGA